CCCCCTGCCTCAGACAAGTTCATTCCCCCCCCCCCCCCCCCCCCCCCCCCGCAGTCCATCCCAGAGCCACAGATACAGTCAATGGGTCGGGGTGGGGTGCTCAGGACCTGTGTCTGCCTGACCCATCTGCGGAGGGCAAATTATTGGAGAACATAAGAGACTTTGGGGGGAGGTGATGGAGGGATGATGCCTCAGCAGTCAAGTGCACCTGTTGCTCTTATAGAAAGAAGACCCAGGGGCCAGACACATACATGGTGCCCATGTATAGATGCAGGAAACACGCGTTCATATAAAATAAATGTCTTAAAATTTTTCATAAGGAGGATTCATTCATAAAGAAGAGGCCTTCTAAACTGGCACAGGCTTGGGAAGGGGGCCCCCATGCTGAACTCTTAGGATGCCTTAATCACATCCAGATACGGTCAGAGGGGTCTTTATCCATTGTTCAATGGATTCTTTTGATTTCTTGGGAGGAGGAAAAAGAACAAACAGGAAAATGTAAAGAAAGGGCAGTCACCTTTTCAAGAAGAATATACAAATGATCAAAGCTGTACAGTATTTGTCAGTATTTTTTTCTGTAAAATTCAAATACACATGAAGTTTATTTAAATAAATATTTTGAAACTGAAATCCTCTTTGCATGTTGGAGGGAGTTACTTGCTGTCCTATCACTAAGATGTAATTCTCACTCAGAAATGACAGATGGAGGGACTCTTCCTGATTGGTCAGTGCCCTCTAAGAATCTCGGGTCCAAGGACCAGGAATGAGACATCTCTCCCCTTTTTACAAAGCAGGCAACTTTGGAGACTGAACTGGGTAATTGATGGCTGCAGAAAAACATACTGATATTCCCTGGAGACACTTAGGAACCATTTCTCAGTGATGTCGACCAGAGTCTTTTTAAAGGAAAATGAAGAAATATTATAGATCATTTTTAAGAAAATCAGTACCTCTGGGTTAATATGTTGCTGTGAAACAAAGTATTAAGGACCCTGCAGTAGCTTTTAGGGACACAGATGCGTGTGTCTATGTGCATGTATTTATATAAGCACATATACCTTTTTTCTAAATCAACCACAACTTTTCGATACTTAGAAAATGAAGTTATTTGGATGCTCCTGGTTCCTCTCTCACCCATGCTTAGCTTGTCATTAAAGTAGAAGCCACCTAGTGTGCTGGCCAACAAGAGCAAGATGGTGGAAATGTTCTCTTCCAACACTGCCCAGTCTGCTACTATTAGCCACATCGGACTTAGTTCACTAAATTTAAATCAAATCAAAATCCAGAGTTCAATGAAGCCAGCCATATTTCAAGGGCTCAACAGCCACCCCATGGCTTCACCACCCGAAATGGCATGTGTCTAGCATCTTGTGGGAAGCGTAGTCAAATGTTTGTGAACAGCTGTGTTGTTTTAGTGGGAGCTTAGGAAGGAAGACCCACAGCACAGCTGCACGTTTTGTCATCTTGCCCAAGGCAGGCTGTTTCACAGTTCCAGTCGATTCTTCTGCTCCTTACCTATCACTATACATCCATGACAACCAGGGAGCAGAGTCTTGAGTCAGCCTGTTATTCATTCCTCCAGGACATTGCAACACTTCCAAGTGCAAGGAGGGGCTGCCCAGAGGGCCACAGCATACCTTCCAGGCTCCTCATAGGCTCACCACTCCCCAAAAGCCCCTCAGCTACACCTGCCCAGGCCCGCCCATACTCTGGGTGAGAAGATGGAATTGCACAATGTAATCATCCATTAGCATTCTCAACTCGTGGCTGCTTGCCCTTTGGCCTTAGGATTATTCTTGAATTCAAAGTCACAGGCAAACAAAACTGAACAAAATAAATCCCTTTGAACAACCTTCTGTATCTGCCTTAGGTTCAACTTATTGAGATGTTTTCAGATTCCCATGGGGACGAGAATCACACGTTATTCAGTAATGAATGGCAGGGCATGCACATGAAAATATTTTCACTTTTACTATGTGCCAAGTCCACTGAGCCCCAGTTATGAGAATCTATCCTGAGAGGTCACAACCTGCCTAAAGGAACAGACCACTACAATACAATGTGCTCATTGCTGTCTCAGAGGAACACACACCAAGGCTGGCATCAGATCAGGCCAACAAAGAGTCGCACTGAGAGGGAAGGTCACCTTTGGCAGAATGGATAAGAGTCCCTGTGCATTGTGAGCTAGGACTAAAGACTATGGTGGTCCAGATCCTGATGCCCACACAAATTCTCACTGTGTGATGCCATCTATTAAGACATATCTTCAAAAATTAAACAGGAAGAATACACACAAAACATTTAGCACGGAGCCTGGCTTATGGAAAGTGTTCAAGTTATGTGTTGTTCATATGACTAGAAGGAAAATCGTGGTTTGTGTTCTAGAAATCAAAGGAGAAACTTCCAGAGGAGGGGATCAAATTATCCCCTTGGCGTTCACTCACCTTTCTCTTTCTTCCATTCATCATACCATTGGCCATTCATAGAAAACCAGTCTTGGGACTGGCTGGTTCTATTCTCCTATTGAGGAAAAAGAAGAGTCAAAAGTTTAGAATGATGATAGAAAGCCTTAAGGCTCAAAGGCTCACCTACAGCTCCAGAGGGCCTGCCTTGTAACACATAGGTACTGTTCATGATCACATGACTCCTGCTTCACAAACACAGAAAATAAGGCCCCAAGAAAAGAAACCAGCATGCCCAATGGAGACCATAGTCTTCTTCCAGGTGCTTCAAGGGTCTGTAAGCCTCCAAATGTCCTTTTCATGTGTTCCACAGCAAGCCCCACCCACTTCCTTGGTCTCTCCTCATTAAAACTAATGACTTTTACTAACCAAAACAAAGAACTGCATTCATTTATTTTTCTTTAAACTTACAATACTTGGTTGGACAGATGGTTCAAGGGTCAAGAGCACTTGCTGTTCTTGCAGAGGACCCAGGTTAGGTTCCCAGCTCCACATGGCAGCCCACAACCAACTGTAACTTCAGTTTCAGAGCATCCCATGGTTTCTTCTGGCCTCTATAGGCACCAGGCATGTGCTGGAGCATATACATATATGAAGACAAAATATTTGTGCACACAAAATAAAATAATTAAGTCTAAGACAAACCTTTTTCAAAATTTAAAAAAAAAACCTGACAAGCCAAATGTAGAAATAACTAAAGTTTACAGTACTACTTCAGCACTATTCTTTTCTATCTTTGCACTTATAATTATGTAGCAGTTCACGAGCAGGGTTTTGTGAGCTAACCCAGGAACCTTATTTACATAACACTGGGACTGGAACTCAAAGCATACATGGAAACAATCCGCTCACAGAGGCATTTTGGGAAGAGTTTGGAAATACCCCTGGAACTGTCTACCCAGTGCCCAGCCCAGTTCAAGGTGGTAGATGGGTTGGGGATAGACAGAGCCAAGGACTCACTAGGCAACCCGTTCCAGGGAATGCAGGCATACCTGTCGTGCTAGTCCAGGAACACTTCCTGAGCAACCCCTAAGTTCAGGCTGGATGCTGACTGGACCCCACTGGCCAACTCTCCAGAGAATGTTACTCGAGAAGGAAGAAAAGTGGGGACCCCTCCAGAACTTTCCCTGTGT